TGATTTGGCCACCAACACTTTCAATAAACCCAAATTTGCCTGCATCATAAACGGTCACAGACATAAGTGATGTGATACAAAAAGTACAAAATAAGGAACAGAACCATTAGCAAAAATACGGGTGCAAGAGTAACAAACTTTAAAAATTTCTCCGTTCTTTCTTCGAAGGAGAAGAAATGTGGAGGAAACAACTTGTAAGCAGAAGAAACAAAATCAAAGAACTCATAAGCCAACCGAGCCAAGCCTTTAACAGCAGCACTAATCATACGAGGAGTTTCTCCAGCCAAACCTCTAGCAACCTGTGATCATGAACAAGGAACAGGTTAAATTTCTTTAGAATAAGAAACAAACCGGAAGTACATGTAAGACGTGTAAACACCCACTAAAGTTAGAGAGATGGCAAAAGGTTTAATACCATATTAAACAGGTGTTCTCTCTGTCCACTGTCGTCTTGATCTCCATATTCATGGCCGATTTAGACAAGGATCTCATAAGCTCTATTTCTAGTTTTCTTATCAGCCTACATAGAAATTGTATCATACAAAAGGAATCAAAAAGCATGTGTAGGAATTAATCCCATAAACATATGAGTTCCCATAAAAAATTAAACACACAACGAACATCTTTCAAAGCAAGGATTATTTCAGTCAGGAAAGAACTAAGAATCTCACATCTCCGCTGGTTTGAATCCTCCTGTAAAAAGAAGCATTAGTTGATCTTCTACAAAAAGATTGTCAGAATGATTGATTTAATCACCTAGAAGTCGTATGCCAATTCAAAAGGGAAATGAAAGGTTCAATTTAGTTTGTTAACCTCTGAGTCATATGTTATCAGATGATACAAACAGTCAAGTCTGTGACGTTTGGCAGAAAAGTGGAGTGATGGCAGCACTTCAATCATAAGTTTAAGCAATTCCTCCAGTTTAGCAGATAGAAGCCCTTTTTGGTTCTGACCAGAAAACAAAAATATAGTGCAAATCGATGGAGTGAGAGATAGGAAATTAGACACAAATGAAAATATACATCTAAATACACAGACACAAAAGAAGAATAAAAATTAGAAGCATTAGCATGAAAAGGAGATACCCTGAGAATTGTTGAAAGAACTTTGTAAGCCTTCTTCAGAATCAAACCATCCACATCCTGCTGATTAATAATATCATTTTCATCATAATAACTTAAACACTCCAACAACAACAACAACAAAAAAGAATTAAACAAAAACCAGATAAGAGGAATTGAAAAACCAACCTGCAATGCAGGTTTCATTGCACTGAATAAGACATCTATTGCCGGCTCATCTAAACCAGGCAATAGTGAAACTGCAAGGTCAAATAACCGCATCCTGCAATTAATATCAACGGTAAAGAATGTAATTATTAAGCACCATAGATCCGTCAAGCCTATAACATGTAAAAATATTAAGCATTCTAGAGTTACCTCTGGAGAGATAATGAGCTTTCAGATGATGACTCGTCAACCTGCATAGAGTTATTCTTTGATGCCTCAGCCATTCCAGCCTCTTGTGTGACTTTTAAAAGCCTCAGCATTGTCTTTTTAAATAAGGTTCGGACAACATTCACATGTGCTATGGAAGCAAACTCCCCAATTGTGGACTGTAAACAAAGAAAAAAATCCGTGAAATTGGGAACATTAAAGCACAAGTAACGAAGGCTTCACTTGGTAGGAAAGAAGAGAAATTTTTACGTAATGGTTTTGTTTATATTCACTTCCTTTCTTGGCTTAACCATTGGAAGAAAACTTTTTCTACCATCCTATATCCCATCCTCTCAACTTAGCAAAGGGGTACAAGACAAATGACAACACAGGATGGTGCACTTCATTGATAGGATAATACAAGTACCTGCAAGGAACCACCCTCATCTACTGTAGATTCCAGGAAGATCCCTGACAAAAGTGACTAGCTGTGGAGCAGATGCAGTGAGCACATTCAAATTTCCCCTAGCAATCTGGGGGTATAATGAGATATCTTTTCTTTCTACAATCTTCTTATTTTGTTGAATTAGAATCTGCAAACTAGAGCAGATTCTTTCTTTCTATAATCTTCTTATTTTGTTGAATTAGAATCTGCAAACTAGAGCAGATTCTTCCACGTATATCATGTTCTTCATGAAGGGCACTGCATATAGGACTTAGAATCTCCTCGAAGCTTTTGGCAGTATCCAAAGGATAATTACAAAACTAGGGTAACATGGCCCAAACTGCATGTACTAGACTATTTGCTTGTCTTGATCAGGAAACATTTCCTTCTAGTTCGAGCTGCAAAAAGTCAGGAGTAAGTAAGAGAGGCTTAAAAAATTAAAAGAATCTAAAATGTGCACCTACAATATGCTGCTTCAGAATTTGGAATAACCAAACATTAACATCGGAAAGGTCATTAGCCTCAAAATTCAGTGGCAAATCCCTAAAAATGTCTTGGGGCCCATCACACCAAGAGCAGATCCAACACATTCATGCAACTGCAAAGAAAAACAAATAGTCAGCATATCCACAAGTTAGTTCCAATATCATGACATAAAAAACCAAAAATGAAACAGGCCAGAAATTAAAAAATCGAAGTTTAAAACATATCAATCATGAAACAGGCCAGAAATTTAAGAATCGAAGTTTAAAACATAGAGAATGGCAAGATAACTGAATAGGAGGACTATATACCTTATTTATTTTAATTTTTTACTCTAAATGGCCTTAGAAAACTTATAATAAGCATAGTTGTCAACATTAACTACCATTTTATATATCATATCACAAAAGATAAGTTTATTCCTGAGTCCTGACCAACATATTATCACAAAAAGATGGGGGGGGGGGAACCCTGACCAAGATATGGATTCATCAGATAAAAGAATACTAAGAATACCAGTTTTCTGTAAGGAAAATCCTTATCTGGCAACCTTTGCATGTCAGCTAAGTTCTTAATGGTTCCTTTCATAAAATATGAAGAATGATACCCCTGTACAACAGCAACCAGATTAAAACTTCATTCAAAAGAATATACACATTGAAATACAACCAAGAGAAAGAAAGCAACAAGAGGCACAGAAAATACCTAGTTTATTGAACATTGTTGAAACAATCTGAAATGCCATGTCCCACACTGCACTATAATGATAATCAAGTAGGCTCTCAACGATTGCACACACGTTTTCAATTAGAGTTGGCCCTGACTTTCTATAATCTGATTTTGAATGAATAATCTGATCCACTCCCTGTTTGATCAAACCCTCATCAATACAGCCATTTATCAGGGTCTTGAAAGCCTCTGTAGCAGAAAATATAGCTTCTTCGTGTTCCGATCCCAGAATATCTATTACAAGTAAAAAAACTCAATAATTATACAGGAAGAACTCCTCAATTCTTCAACGAAAAAGAATTGCTAACTAAGAACTAAAATATTGAACCTTTGAGTGCACTGAACACAATGGGAAGTTTAATCACACAAAGTTGTCGATTAAGAGAATTTACTTTCATCATTACAGAACTCAACAAACGGGAGTTAAATGTCAAGCTTACTGGAGAAGTTTCATTTGCAGAGACGGAAAGAGCCAAGAACGATAATGAATCCAGCAATGCCTCAGCTGAAACCTCCACATTAGGATAAGTATAAACTGAGTTCAAACTATCTGTTACACGCCTATTAACAAGAGGTTGCCTAAGTTCCAATGAGGTTTTATAGTACTTGAGAATTGTAGTCATGTGTTTAGCCGACATAAGTGGAAGTGATTCCTTAAGAGCATCCAAAACATAGAGACTAGAGCTCCTTTCGCCCCTTCGCTTGAATTCACATTTGAACCACCGGCAAGCAAAAGAAACTTCTCGAATAAGTTTCATATAGCTTCGCTCGCAGTCGACAGCACTGGAGTCCCGCGCAAGCTTTGTAAAACGTCACGGATACACAAGTGCGATTGCCTTCTCACCTATTTTGAATTTTAATTCACATGTAAATAAAAATTTGAAGCAGAATTTGGTTGAATTCAACTCTTTTCTTTTCTTTCTTTTTTGGATTCAACAAAACGAAGAAAAAAAATTTACCTTAGAGCGGGAATCGGTTAAGTATCCAATTAAAACACCCTATTTTTTTTTTATAAATCAGACCAATTAACTTTATCGCCGGCAATCAATAACTAAGCTAAGCATTTCGAACCTGACGTCAGCGTAACCTCCGTAACGGAAATTTAATCTTAAGACGGTAACTATGATTTTTGAAACGAAGTCTACATTCTTTTTCAAGACAGCGACGGGGATACGAGGGAAAAGGAGAGAGAGAGAATAGTGGTGAGAGACTGAACCACGTGAGGAGGCGAGTCCGGCTCGGAGACGAGGCGTTCGAGGGAAGAACACGTGGTGCCGAAGTATGCGATCGGAGTGAGAGGCAGATCTTGCTCCTTCAATTCTTGAGCCATTGCGCCTACGGTGGCGCAGAGGCGTTGGCTGTCTTCTTGATCGGAATTCGAAAAGTGATGGAGTATTGATTCGCAGAAATCGCCGTTGGATGAGTCCGGGAAGATGTCCAAGCCTTCCATTTCGATGCCTGCCATGACTAAAAGACGATGCCCAATTTAGCGTCGCTGTTTCCCGTAGTACCAGTGGTGTAGCTGTATCGCCGTCTATCACCGCTACAACCGCGAAAAAAAATCTTCAAGTAAGGCCCCGTTTGGTTCAGGGTAAAATTTATTCATCAGAGGAATATTTTTTTCTCGGAGAAATATGCCCACGTTTGGATGAGCCTCATTACTGAGTACCAGTAAAAAAACTAAAACCAACAGTAATTTTTTGTCTCTCTTTCCCGGGAATATCTATCCCCTGTCTCCCTTAGATATTTAATTATTCCCGTCTTCGTTGTCTAAAATAGCCTTCTCCCCCACTTCGTTCTGCTGAAATCTTCTTCTTCGACTTGGTTATGGGTTTGTGTTCTCAAAATTGGAATTACCAAAATTGAAATCCCTTTCCAAAGCCACTCGTTCCTTCTCCACCGCTCTAGCCTCCAGTTTTTGTTTTCTGTCTCTCTAAACAACGAGAATGGTGGGAACAACAGAGGCAGTGGATTCATCAGCCTCCAACAACAAGAAGAACCGTATCCAAGTCTCCAATACCCAGAAACCCCTCTTCTTCTACGTTAATCTTGCCAAGGTTCCTTCACTTTGTTCTTTCTTTCTAATTTTCTAACTCTCGGTGATTAATGAATAATATGAGACTTTGAGTTATGTCTTTGGGTTTTCATTTGTTTTTTCCGTTCGTATTTCTGTTGTTGTTGTTGATCATGATGTGAAAATATTCAAGACAAATGGGAATTATATGAACAAAAAATGAATTAAATTAGTTTTTTTGGTTAGTTTTTTATACATTTATTTTTGCTCCATTTTGGCAGAGGTACATGCAGCAATACAATGAGGTGGAACTCTCAGCGCTTGGAATGGGTATTCTTTCTTCGCTCTTCTTTCCACTTTCACTTGCTTGGTTTACTCATTATTGAAACTTTTTTTATTCGGATGTTCTTTTCAGTATTGAAGTGGCAGTTTGTTTTGTTGCTCTCTGTATTTCTTATTAAATGTTATATGTTTAGCTTTTGAGAGATGGGATTGTCATCTAAATTGATAGCTTCAACCTTTGTGGCTAAAATATCATGGAGCTCTTAAACTGTTTTATTCTTGTTACCTTTCATGACTACTTCAATGTAATCAAAGGAACAAAGTGAACGATTGGTTTTAAACCACTCGAGCTGAAATACAACACATTACCTTGACATACAAACATGCTATGTGTATATTTATGGAACGTGATTTATGATTGTGTTGCAATGCGGCTCTTGGTTTTGAATGTTGAGGAAAACATAACTGTTTCTTTCTCTTGTTTTTCTTTTAACTAGCTTTCTATGCTGCCTGACAGCTATTGCTATTGTTGTTACCATTGCTGAGATATTGAAGAACCATGGGCTAGCCATAGAGAAAAGTGAGTCTTACTTGTAACAAAATATACATTTTAGCTTTCATCTCATTTTTATAACTCAAACTTTGTATCGTGATATATATGCATTATAACCAATTAGATATATAATGAGGTCTCTGGTTATTGTGTAGTTGATATGAGAGATGAATCAGGCGGACTGGGACATAAATTCTATTAATTGGTAGGTTAGGGAATAATATATAGTAAAATTCAGCTGTACTACTTTCGTCCATTTTTAATCATTTACAATAACATTAATTCTCAGGTTCATTGAACTTTTCTTATTGCAATTTGTCAAGGTCGAGCTACAATATCAACATGAATATGCTGGCATAAGCACCAACATTGGATTGACTGCAAGCCCTCTTGTTAACTTTTCTGGTGTGATTGGAAACAATTGTGTTTCTTTTGGGGCTGATCTCTCATTTGACACCGCCAGTGAAAACTTTACCAAATTGAATGATGGGTTAAATATCAACCATTCTGATCTCATTGCTTCCATAACATTGCAAGTATTTCTTTATGAAGAGTTGGGATTAACATTTTATGTCCATATATTTTCATAACATGAAACTTGTATTGAATAGTATTTCTTTACTTTTGCACGTAATCTTTCATTCTGCTTGTTGTGTTTTTGGTTTTGATTTGGGGGGGGGTTTGTTGATAATTACTGGAATGATAAAGGTGACATTCTTACTGCTTCCCACTACCACATTGTTAGCCCATTGACTAACACCGCAGTTGGGGCAGAGAGAACCCATAGTTTCTCAATTAACGAGAACACTCTTACGAATGGTACACAACATGCTCTTGACCCATTAACCACAGTGAAGGCCCGCCTGAACAACTATGGGAAAGCAAGTGCACTGATTTAGCATGAGTGGCGTCCAAAATCCCTCTTCACTATATTCGGGGAGGTGGATGCCAAAGCAATTGAAAAGAGTGCTAAGGTTGGTCTGGCCATGGCACTCAAGCCATAAGCAAATCTATTACTCTTTGTTGTGTGGATGCAGGGAAGACAGTGGTTTTGATTGGTGGAGAAAAGTAATGTACTTTTTGACGAAATTGGTATTGATGATCATGGTTCTCATGGATTGTAAAAATAATATGGTGGCCAACTGACTGAATTTAGCCATTGGTTTTTGTTGGATTTCCAATAGCATATAGTTTCATGTTATCAAAAAATATTGTAGATTGAAATACTTCTGAGGAAGTCAGAGAAGTTTGATGAGTTGATGGCAGCTGCTGCTGAGGAAGCCTTAGATAATGAGTAAAGCTAAGCTAGGAATAAGATTGTGAGTTGTGTTACTTTGATTGTGAGAATCTTCAACTGTTATGTTCTTGTTTGCATGTGAGTGAAGCTTAGTCACTGTGATGAGATTTTAGGAATTTTTGTATACTACTATTGCCGTTTATTATTCAATATTCAAATTTGTTGTCAATCCCTTTCTTCTACAGTCCTATATAATGTCAATTTAGACCATCATTTTGATTGTGTTCCTTCTACAATTATATCGATCTCTTTTTATTATGACTTTAGAATATGGTACCAACGTTTTTGTGTAGCTTAGCTAGGTATATGTCAATCTTTTGACTTGAAGAATTTTTTGTGTATATAATATAGCCAACATATATGATTAAGTTTAGAATGTCATGGTTATTATCTTTTGTAAGTCTGAACATTGTACAAACTTTTGATGGTTAATGTTATACTTCTTTTTGTTATTATGTAGTATATGACTTGCAAGTAATGTGCTAGTTTTCGAATATGTTAATTACATTTTATAAAATTAAATAACACAGTGAAAGTTAAAAATCTCTAATATTGAACCTGATATATTTTTATATAAATTATGTTGAAGTAAAATTTTAATATATTTTTTTAAATAAATTATGTAAAATTTAATATTAATTAAAATTAAAATAATACATAATAAAATAATAATTATCAATGAATTTTTATTTAAATATATTATCGATGAATTTTTATATAAATAATTTTTATTTAAATAATTAGAATTTCACTTGTTAAAAAATATAGAACAAGGTCAATTTGGTAAAATATACATTCCAGTAATCTTTTATTCCTTCAACCAAACACTGTAATCTTACATTACTGTCAAACAAACCAAACACGGTAATGTAACATTCCCAGTAATGTGTTAGGTAATGTTACATTCCGGTAATCCTATTCTCACTGGTAATCTTATATTCCGTGAACCAAACGCACCCTAAAGGGTTTAAAGGAGACTGGGCGGCGGGTATAGGAAAAAAAAATAAATTCAGTGATCGAAAATGCCTTATAATATACGATTTTAACAATTTTTTTGGATTTGTCAAAATGATCAATAAATTCGCAACGCGATCTCAAATTTGCAACACGAACTCCAATTTCGTAACCCAGTTTCCAATTTCGCAACGCGAATATGTAAATCGTAACACATAAGTCAAATTCGCAACGCGGAATTTCAAATTCGTAACTAGATTTTCGAATTCGTAACTAGATTTTCGAATTCGCAACACGAATTTAATTTCGCAACAGGTTTTAGTTTCACAAAACAAATGTTTTGGGTATATAACAACACAGCAGCAGTAACTCATAACCTAAATCCCTAAATCGCAACTCATTCTATCTCCATCTATCACTCTCTCCGACGACATCCGTTCCTATATCCAACAACATCCTTCCCCATCTCTAATTTTTTTTACATAATTTTATTTCTATATAATTTTTCAATGATTTCTCTCCCATTTTATCAACTATCAACTTAAAAAATGTATGTTTTTCTCTAAGTTAGTGATGATATCTAGTTTATAGCTCGTTTGTTTAGTAAATTAATTCACAATTTGTAGAATGAAATCATCTAATGTTAATCATGTTTGGATAGATTTGTGTTTTGGAGGGTCATGGGAGAATGTTCATGGTGTTTTACAATATGTGTCTTTATCCATGAATCTTCAACTAAAACTGTCATTAAAAAAATTAACTTATGAAACTCTAATGTTACGTGTTGCAAAGAAATTGAATTTAGGGCCTCTAAGTGGATTTAGGTTATCTTGTCAGAGAAAATGTAAAGTTTATTTGTTAACCGACAATGAAGATGTTGAACGATTCATTGCTTACATTAGTGTTTCGCAAGAAGATGATGTTACATTGTATGTTGTTGAACCTAGAAGTAGTGAAGTTGGGTCAATAGCAGGTAGTAATCAACTAAGTTATTCAACCCCAGTTTATGGTGCTCACAATGTACAACGTTGTTATCAACCTCAAAATTTAATGGTTCCATCACAATTTCATCAGCAAGAAAATTTTGTTTCACCACATTTTCAATACCAAACACAATCTCAAAACCCACAACCTTTTTCCTAATCCAAATCCCAATCAACTTTCAGCACTAAATTCCGGTTTTTGTATTGACCAGTTAGACGATTATAAGGCAACAGAAAAAATTGTGAATACTAGTCAGTATTCGAAATTTGATCTTGGTCAATACCCGGACTTTGATCTTGGTCAATACTCGGATTTTGATGATGTGATGGAAGAAGAAACAGACCCTGCATGTAATGATTTTGATATTGGTCAATACCTGAATTTTGATGATGAAACAGCCGCTGCCGAGGAAGATGTTGTTGATGATAATGAGGAGGAAGTTACGACTGTGAATGAACATGTTGAACATCTATTATGTAATTCATATAACCCTGAAGAAGAAAAAGAAAAAGTCCCCGAAGAAAAGAAAAAGAAGAAAATGGCACGGGAGTATAACTAGAATATGCCAGAATTACTTCAGATACCGGAAGAAGAGTTGGTAAAGATAGCAGTTGATTGTTACACAAAAGTTATCCGTATCAAGAAAGATGATTGTTTTGATACAAAAGAAGACTTGAAGATAGCTTTGTATACGAAATGTGTGGAAGATGGCTATCAACTAAAAGTTAACAAATCAAGCAAAGATCGTTTCGAAACAAGGTGTATGATTGACAAAAACTGTATGTGGCGTATGATTGCAAAGAGGATAAAAGATTGCGAAACGTTTCAAGTTATGATTTTTATTGATAAACATACATGTTCAAGAACCCAAGTTTTTCCTCACCATAGACAGGCAAACAAAAAAGTGTTGGGTGGTTTTCTGGCTGAGTTAATGTTTTTGAATGGAAGGGTATATCGGGGACATGAAATTGTTGAAAACATTTTGATGTTTCGATATAACAAATGAATTTTAAGATTTTTCAAATAATTTTCTAAGTATTTTTGATATAATTATTCGAATATCAAAATATTACTCCAAGTCTTTCAAAGTTCATTTTAATCCTTACTAAAGTGTAAAACTGTGTTTTATACTTAACTATTTTAAAACAATTTTACAAAGTATTTCGAGCCTTAATCGAGCCAAAAATATTTTTTTAAAGGCTTTCAAGAAAAATCATATTGCCCAGGGGGTACAGATTCCACCCCAGGGGGTACATATTTCTTCTAGGGGGAACAGATTCCCCCCAGGGGGTACCGATTCCCCCTGTCTAACGGTCAAAAATAGATTGCACTTAGGGAACCGATTCCCCATGAGGGGTACCGATTCCCCCCACGCTCCAAGCTATTTTATTAATTGTTTCTCATCCCCAAACGACTCCAAAACATCCCCAACGACTATATACTACTTCAAACACATTCCAAGCTATAAATACAAGCTAAGGACACTTGAAGAAGCAAGAGAACAACTATCCAAGCAATCAAAAACAAGAGAAGAGTTTTTAAATCTTATTTAATCTTTCTCTTGTAAATATTTTGTTCTTCTGAGCTTAATTCTTGTAAACACTTACCTTATAGAGGTTTTCTTGTTTACATTTCTTATCCTTTTGTAAAGGGGAAAGGTTCTAGCTAATCCCGTGTAAAAGCTAGGGAAAGATTCTAGTTTAGTTCGGAAAAACTAGGGAGTTTGTAAGGTTACTCTTTATCCTCAAAAGAAAGAACAAATTAGTGAATTTGTTGGAAAATCCTTGGTGAGGAGCTAAGGTATTGGATGTAGACTTTGGTTGAGAAAGTCAAACCACTATAAATCGTTGTGCAATTCTCTATCTTTCAATCTCTTTACTCCCTAAACATAAAACTGTTCCAACCCCTCTTTACAAACCGTTCCGGTTGTCGATTTGAGCTTCCGAAAATCCTAACAATTGGCATCAGAGCCTAACTCGTTAAGAAGGTTTAACCACCTTGAGACGATCCTAGAAGAAGCTCTACCAATTCCCTACACAACCGAGAAGATGGCTTCCACCTCCGGCTCGTTCCACATGGAAGACTCTCTACCAACCGACAAACTTCCATACTTCAATGGAGTCAACTATCATCATTGGAAGAAATTAATAAATGTATTCATCCAATCTAATGATCTTGATGTATGAGAGATAATCGATAATGGCTACTCTTCTCTAAAGAAGAAGGAGAAGAAGCGGAGTGACAAAGAACGGAAGAAAGCTCAACTTAATGCCAAGGCCATGCATATGTTGTTTTGTACGTTTGGTCCTGAAATCTATGAAGGGGTTTCTTCATGTTCAAGTGCCAAGGAGCTTTGGAATAAGCTCGAGGAAATCCATGGAAACAAGAAAGAAGAACCAACAAAGGTGGTGTCTCTAATGGCTTATGAAGAGCCCGAGGTATCTTCTAACTCAAATGAATTTAATTCATATACGTTTGATGAGTTACAAGATGCTTTTAATAGGTTATATTCGAAGTTTGAGACCATGAACTCCAAATATAAGAAAATGATTTCAAAATTTAAAATTGAAAACGATTTTCTTTTGAAAATAAAAATAGATTTTGAAAGCCAAAATGAAATTTTGAAAAAGGATTTAGAGCTTTCAAAAATAAAAATTGATAGTTTTGAAAAACAAAATTTTGATTTAAAAGTTAAGCTTGAATGCTTAACAAAATCAAAAGAAATCATTTTAAATAATTCATTTAGTTCAATAATGACAATATGTTCACATTGTCATTATCATGGTCATTTGGAACATACTTGTCCTTTGAAGAAAGGAAAACGTTTTAAAATTAGGTAAGTATGGGTTCCGAAAGGAACAAGGGGCATTGAAACTAACGTTTTAAAATGTTTTGTTATATCAAAAAGGGGGAGATTGTTGAAAACATTTTGATGTTTTGATATAACAAATTAATTTTAAGATTTTGCAAATGATTTTCTAAGTATTTTCGATATAATTATTCGAATATCAAAATATTACTCCAAGTCTTTCAAAGTTCATTTTAATCCTTACTAAAGTGTAAAATTGTGTTTTATACTTAACTATTTTAAAACAATTTTACAA